GCAACAAAGACTCTCGGGATTCAGAAGACCTTTAACCTAATTAAGAGTTTTATGTGAAGAAGACTTCTTATCCCCTTGGACTCTCCAAATTTTTCTTATAAAAGGGAGCAGGTTCATTCATTTTACACAACACACATTCACGAACTATCTCGTTACTCTGCCGTTTTCTCTCTAGACCTTCACTGACTTGAGCGTCAGAGTGTTCGTGCCGGGACCACCCCCGACGTGCTTTGCAGGTACCGACGACCAAGGAGACGCAACCCGGTTCGAGAGGAGCGGTCCAGCGGTTCGAGTATTTGTGGTATAACAAATTGGCGCCGTCTGTGGGACACTCAGTCTTCTACCCGGAGTTTTAAAGGCTGTTTTTCTCACTACAAAAGAAGAACGATAGAAGTCATGGCAGGAGATAACTCGAAGAAGAACTTGACTAAGGAGATGGATGAGGAGTGGGCTCGGAGGGCCTTCGGGGCAGGTCCCCCGCCGGGCTGGTCATCATCGCCTGTCACCCCCAAAGAGACGTTGTTGGGCCCGGGCGTGACCCTGATACCACCATCAGAAGCTCAGAAACGCGCGGCGAACTCGGGAGGATCTGGTGGTGTGGCGAACAAAGCGAAGGAGGCTGGTACCACGGTTGATGGCGGGGCAAATCAAGGTGTTTTAGGATCCGGGGGTGCTGGTGATCAGAGTTGTGCCCTTGGGAGTAGGGAGTTGGTCGTGGTAGGAGCACAAAACCCTCCGGGGGATCATGTTTCTTCGACACCACGGGGGGACTCGGTTATCCAGATGACCATGTCGGAGTTGGATAGGATCATTGCGGAGGCAATAGGCCGGGCACAAGAGGTGGATAAGAGAGCCCCTAATGAGACGTTTAAACAACCTCCGCCGCGACAGCCGCTAACACCTCAACAACAAACCCCCGTGCAACAGCAACACCAGCGCGTGGAGAGGGGTAACGAGGAGGATGCTAGGTCAGTGACCTCCCGCCCGATGGCGACGGAGCAACTAGAAAGGTTAACTTTGGAGAGGTTGGCAGCTCAAATGCGGGAACTCCAAGCTCGGGTGCAGGGTAAGAGACCTGTAGTCTCGCGAGGCCACCCCTTTGCAGAGGATGTCTTAGGAGGAGACTTGCCTAGCAACTTCAGGGAGTTGAGTTTGTCATATGATGGATCGGCGGACCCAGCTAGGCACTTGAGATCGTTTGACAAAATAGCTGTGCTGCACAGGTATAGTGATGCCGTGAGCTGCCGGGCCTTTCTGACGACTTTGAAGGGGTCGGCACAAGATTGGTTCCACCAGTTGCCGGCGGGATCTATCGATTGCTTTGAAAAGTTCAGCTCTTTGTTTCTGAATCAGTTTGCGAGTGCCAGGAAACATGAGAAGACGTACCTCTCATTGATCAATATGCAGCAGAAGGAAGGGGAGACCTTGCGACAGTATGTAGCGCGGTACACTAAGGAGTGCGTGGAGGTCCCCTCGGCCTCAGAAGAGATAAAAGCTGGAGGCCTTACACGGGGATTGAGGCCTGGGAAGTGTAGAGATTCCTTGGCGAAGAGGCCGGCGAGGTCCTTTGATGAGCTACTTGAGAGGTGCAGCAAGTATGTGAATATGGAGGAATCAGAGGCGGATTTCCTTCGAAGTGACAAGACAAATATTAAGCAGGTAGAGGAGAAGCCTCGACAGGGTGATCGACGAACCGCCCCCAAGGAGTCTAGGGTTGAGGATCGGTTCAGGGGTCCGAGATACGAGCATTATAGACAACTTAATGCGCCGCAACAGGAGATCTTGGAGACGATGGAAAAGCGAGGGGAGGACAAGCTGCTTGCACAACCAAAACCTTTGCCCCCACCGCGGAAGTTTTCGGCATCGAAGGACAGGTATTGTCGGTACCACCGTGATTTCGGTCACTCTACCAATTTCTGCCGGGAGTTGAAGGACGAAATTGAGCGGCTCATTAGGGTCAGTCACTTAAAGGAGTTTGTGATCAAGGATAGAGAGCGCCAGGATGATCGTCGAGAAGGGAGAGAGTCGGGTGACAAGCGGCGGAGGACTGATGAGCAGCCTGATAGACCAGTGAAGAAAGGTGTCATACACATGATCGCGGGAGGTCCTACCGATGGAGACTCACATAGAGAGAGGAAGAGGACTTACCGGGGTAAGGGTGTGGCGGATGAGGTTGCTGAGGTACAGGTGCAAAGGAGCTTGGCCACTTTGAAGTTTGGAGCTGACGATGTACAGGGGCTTGTCGTCCCACACAATGATGCCTTGGTTATCACTGCGGAAGTGGCCAGTTATGATGTGCAGAGGGTACTCATAGACACGGGGAGCTCGGCGGATATCATTTTCCTGAAGTGCTTACAGCAGATGGAGTTAGATGTGAAGGTCGAGCCGGTCCACACTGCCCTCTACGGCTTCAGCGGTAGTGAGGTCCGCCCCGTGGGTGAAGTTAGTTTGACTGTGGCATTTGGGAGGTCACCCTTGAGAAAGGTAAAGATGGTCCGCTTCTTAGTCGTGGATGCTAGTTCGGCCTACAACATCATACTGGGGCGGCCTAGCCTGAATTCATTCCAAGCAGTTGTTTCTACTTATTGCATGAAGATCAAGTTCCCCGTAGGGGATGAGGTTGGGGAAGTGACTGGAGACCAATTGCAGTCTCGGCGGTGCTATGAGGTCACATTGAAGACGGCCGAGGCGCAGCATAAGAGGAAGAATGACAACCTGCCGGAGTGCTCCCGTCGGGAGAAGAAGCAAGAGTTGGGAATTAGCTCCCAGGACGAACTGATGGAAGTCGAACTGATAGAAGGTAATCCGGAAAAGACAACAAAGGTAGGACGTCACTTGGCGGTGGATCTGCAAGGCGCGTTGATTGCGCTATTGAAGGAGTTTGTGGATGTTTTCGCCTTTTCAGCTGACGACCTCACAGGGATCGACCCCGGGGTGGCGGAGCATAGGTTGAACATTGACCCAACTGTGAGACCGGTAAAACAGAAGAGGAGGCACTTTGGTGCTGAGTTAGACGTGGTCATTGAGGCAGAAGTGGAGAAGTTGTTGAAGGCGGGGCATGTACAACCTATTCAGTTCCCGGAGTGGTTGTCCAACTCAGTTATGGTGCGTAAGGGGGAAGGAAAGTGGAGGATGTGTATCGACTTCAGGGATCTCAACAAAGCTTGCCCAAAAGATTACTACCCCCTACCACGTATTGACCAGCTCGTCGACTCTACGGCTGTGTGCGAGTTGTTGAGCATGATGGACGCCTCCCAGGGGTACCACCAGATCCCCCTGGCCGTGGAGGACCAAAAGAGGGTTAGCTTTGTGACATCCAAGGGTACCTACTGCTACGTTGTCATGCCTTTTGGATTGAAAAATGTGGGAGCTACTTATCAGCGGTTGGTGGATAAGATGTTCAAAGGGCAAATAGGGCGGAACATGGAGGTCTATGTCGATGACATGCTAGTGAAGAGCAAGAATGCGGATGATCATGTGGTGGACTTGCGAAATACACTGAACACTTTGCGACTATATGGCATGAAGCTCAACCCGACCAAGTGTAAGTTCGGGGTGCGCTCGGGAAAATTCTTGGGGTATCTGGTGACGGAGAGGGGCATCGAAGTCAACCCAGAGAAGGTGCGAGCCGTCATCGAAATGCAACCACCAAGGAACTTAAGAGAGGTGCAGATTTTGACCGGGCGCCTAGCGGGGTTGAGCAGGTTCATCGCTCAATCCACCGAAAAGAGTTTTCCATTTTTTAAGGCATTAAAGAAGGGGTCGCGGTTCGAGTGGACGTCTCAGGCGCAACATGCATTCGAGAGGTTGAAAGAATTCTTGGCCGAGCTCCCCCTACTTACAAAGCCGGAGCCTGGCGACACTCTAGTTGTATACTTATCAGTGGGTCACGAGGCCATCAGTTCTGTATTGATAAAGGAGGAACATGGGCAGCAGAAACCAATATATTACGCAAGTCGGATATTGCAAGGGGCCGAGCGCCGATACTCAGATGTGGAGAAGGCTGCCTTGACACTCATCTCCACTGCTCGAAAGTTGCGCCCCTACTTCCTAGCGCATAAAGTCATGGTGCGAACAAACTACCCACTCAAGGATACTATGGGTCGTCCTTCGGCCTCGGGAAGGATGGTGAAGTGGGCAGTAGAGTTAGGCGAATACAATGTTGACTTCGAGGTCCGAAAAGCTATCAAGGCGCAGGCGTTAGCCGATTTCATACAAGAATGCACTCTGGGAGATGAGTAGGGACCATGGATGGTGTATGTCAACGGCTCGTCGGCCGTAGGAGGAGCGGGTCTCAGCATCTTGGTGGTCACGCCCGAGAAGGATCATTTGGAGTTCGCGGTGAAACTCTCGTTCAGGGTGTCGAATAATAAAACGGAGTACGAAGCCCTCATCAAGGGGATCCAACTCGTTTTGAAGGAAGGAGCCCGACAAGTAATCATTCATTCGGACTCTCAGCTGGTGGTCGAATAGGTCAGAGGCGAGTATGAAGCTAAGGAGGAGCGCATGAAGAAGTACCTGGTGGAGGTCCATGCGATGTTAAAAGGATTCGCGACTTGGGAATTGATACAGATACCGTGGTGGGAAAATGGTAGGGCCGACCTACTCTCGAAGGTGGCCGCATCGCTTGTGGATTGTCGATCTCGATCGGTGACATTGATGGATATGACCAGAAGTACTTTAGACCAAGTGCTAGAGGTTGAAGAGCAAGAGGATTGGAGGTCGCCCCTAATACAGTGGTTGCGAGAGCCGGTGGTTGGAAAGGATATCAAGGACGACCCGGTTGGAAGGAGGGCATTGAGGTTCTATTTGCAGAATGGGATCTTATATAAGCGATCGTACGTAGGGCCCCATCTAAGGTATGTCTCGGAGCAGGATGGAGAGTACGTGCTAAGGGAGGTACATGAGGGATGCTGTGGTGATCACTTGAAGGCTAGGGCGTTGGTCGGGAAGGTACTCCGGGCCGGATACTTTTGGCCTAAGATGAGGACGATGGCACAGGACCTTGTGCGCAAATGTAAGAGGTGTCAGCAGCATGGTCCATTGATACATAAAGCGGCTGAGAACATGGTTCCGATTAGCTCCCCTCTACCTTTTACTCAGTGGGGGGTCGACATAGTCGGACCTTTGCCCCAGGCGACGGGCCAGCGAAAGTTCCTCATTGTGGCAGTGGACTACTTTTCTAAGTGGATTGAGGCCGAGCCCTTAGAAACAATCACAGAATAAAGGGTGATGAAGTTTCTTTTCAACAACATATGTTGTCGGTACGGCATCCCTCGAGTGCTTATATCTGATAATGGCACCCAGTTTAGAGGTCAGCGTACGATGAGTTGGTGCGAGGAGATGGGCATCAAACAGCAGTTTACCTCGGTCGCCCACCCCCAAGCGAATGGGCAGGCCGAGGTCGCGAACAGATCAATTCTAAATGGGTTGAAGGCAAGATTGGAGAGAGCCTCAGGTGCTTGGGTGGATGAGCTTGATTCCGTGTTGTGGTCATATCGGACGACACCAAGGACCTCAACGGGGGAGACGCCGTTTAGTCTAGTATATGGCATGGAGGTTGTCATCCCGGTGGAGATCGGCCTCAACTCAGAGCGGGTGAGTACCTACACGGAAGAAGGAAACGTGGAGCTTCGAAGGGAGACCCTGGACCTGGTGGATGAGCTACGTGACCAGTTCGGATTAAGGACGACGGTTTACAAGCAGTGGATGAGGGCGGCACATGACAAGTCAGTTCGAGCTCGTCGATTCCAAGTGGGGGACCTGGTCTGGCGCCAAGCTGATGCCCTGAAGCATGTTAGGAAGTTGGAACCGAATTGGGAGGGCCCCTATACTGTTGAGAGAGTATTCGCGGGGGGCGCCTATGAGCTTCGTGATGTTGAGGGGCGGCTACTACCCCGACCGTAGAACATATCCCACTTGAAGAAATATTATGCATAGTTAGAGACATGTTATCTTTCCTTGTTTTCGGTTGTTATTTAATTATGTTTTTGTGAGACGAATAATAAAGTTGCATTTGAAGTTTTTCAGCTTAACTCTCTTCTTGTGTGATGTGTTTAAGGGTAATGACCTGATAGTCTCGCCTAAGCTCGCGGAGCTAGGTGACGACCTCTTTAGGGCGAAAGCCTGGCAAGTCTCGCCTAAGCACGCGGAGCTAGGCGACGACCTCTTTAGGGCGAAAGCCTGGCAAGTCTCGCCTAAGCTCGCGGAGCTAGGCGACGACCTCTTTAGGGCGAAAGCCTGGCAAGTCTCGCCTAAGCTCGCGGAGCTAGGCGACAACCTCTTTAGGGCGAAAGCCTGGCAAGTCTCGCCTAAGCTCGCGGAGCTAGGCGACGACCTCTTTAGGGCGAAAGCCAGGCAAGTCTCGCCTAAGCTCGCGGAGCTAGGCGACGACCTCTTTAGGGCGAAAGCCTGGCAAGTCTCACCTAAGCTCGCGGAGCTAGGCGACGACCTCTTTAGGGCAAAAGCTTGGCAAGTCTCGCCTAAGCTCGTGGAGCTAGGCGACGACCTCTTTAAGGTGAAAGCCTTGTAAGTCTCGCTCAGGCTCGTGGAGCTAGGCGACGACCTCTGTGATTGACGAGGTCATCGCGTAAGACTGAGAATGAGAGTCTTGGAAGACTTAGCAATAGTTGTGCTAGGTGCAAAAGCCCGTGGTCACAATGTTAAGTGCTTCTAGGACTTGGTGAATGAAGAAGTGTGGTTACTTGTACAAGATAAGTTATGTAAGTGCGAACAATTGAAACAAACAAGCAACACAATAAAAGCAACGTATCGAGCGAGTTTACTGTTACATGCCCAAATAAAAAAGTTCGTGCAAGAATAAATGGTTCGTGGCTACATGCCGACATAACAAAAGAGATAATCTAGAGAGAGGTTCCATGCAACCGAGTCGATAGAGAAACAAAAAGCCATGAGTGAGTGGCACAGGTAGATCTAGGAGGGGAGTGCGTTGTCCTCCGACTCGGGGATCCTCTCCACCTCTAGGCCGACGGAAGTGGCGATGGCCTTCGCGGTGGTCTCCAGGGCCGGCTCCCACCAAGGATGAGTGGGCGGGAGAGTCGGGTCGCCGTTCCACCCCGCGGGGGTAGGGAGGCCAGTCATCATCTCGAGCTCCTTCGCCTCATCCACGACGATAGCGGTCCCTGCCTCTTTCACCCTGGCCAGGGTTCGGTGGATCCCCTCGTGGAAGTACAGGCGGCAGGCTGTGCATATCCTCTCAAGATAGGCCCTGGAGTCATGGTACCTCGATAGCAGCTCGCGTCGGTACCGCTCGACGAAGTGGCATCCGAGTTCGGATGCTAAGAAGGAAGTCAGTCCCTCGGCCCGGGCGTGGGCAATGCGCTCATCC